CTAGCATATATCTTTAAAGGTAGAAAACTATGTTTGGACAATACAATGTAAAAATGGGCTATATATCGCCAGCAACTGAAAGCTGATCACCATGCTAGGGACCATGGGGACTTACAGTACTTTGGCTACCTGCATGGACCCTAGCTGGATTTACACCATCCCTTCAGCCACTGGCGATTGTAGTGAAATTTAGCCATTATTTAAAACAACAATTATTCTACGATTAAAATATTTTTGTAGGTAGAAATTGACTTTGAAAGTTGTGGAACTTACGTACCCTCTTAGGAGGACAATAAGTTTACATTGCTTTAACCCCCTTCGAGGATACAGCCTCTGACCATCTGAGTTGCAACTTAAACTCTGCTAATATTAAAAATCAACTATCTACACAATATCAAAATTTATCAATTAATTCAATTTCTTTTATAAATCCAAGGAGTAAATGAGGAGCAACATGATAAAAAAGATCCTTCATTGTTTTTACATCGAAATATTTTTCCCTTGTGATGACAAAATCAATACAGTCTAGCAAGGCATGCTTGACCGTGATTTTTTCATCACAAGGGATGCAGAATGGAGGATCTTCGCCTTTTAACAAATACACATGAGTATACCTGCTGTGGCCAATGCGACATCGTCGCATGATGACCTCGTCAAATCTGGACTGACAACCCAAGTAGGTGTAACCGATAGTTGGTTTAATTGCATGTAATTTATTAATACCTATTTGAGTGTCCCACTTCTTTTGCATCATATCACGAATGTACGATCTAATGGTTGCTTTGAAGTCGGAGTATGGAATGAAAAGTGGTGTCACAGATTTGTTGAGTGCTGCCTTAGCAGCAAAATTCAATATAGATGAAGGAACGAACTTCTTTGATCTTTCTAATGCATTTAAATTGAATCATATAATCAACTGATATAATCAATGTAGTCAAACATTTCTTTGAAAATCAATAAATCTTACGCCTCGTTAAAATGCAAAATATTAATGAAATACGTAGGAGTTGGGACACGGTATGCGAAAAGTCATCATACAAAATAGCATGTCCAAAATGTTACACGTTACCAAATTTTAAGATTAAATGCACTATGAAAGTATTGATCTCAAGACAGACATATCCGTTTACATATATATGTGAGTTTACATATATATGTGAGTTTACATACAGGTAATGACTGTTTGCTTTAATGACTAAATCGACGTATGACTCATTTAGTTCAGAGTCGTTTCTGGGATTTATGTCCCATGAATCAGTCAGATGTATCAGTGAGTGAGTGAGTTAAAATTTTACATCGCATCGGCAATATTGCAGCCATATAGCGATGAAAACAAGGTAATCAATTTAAAATATCTGTCGGCAAAGGACAGTAAAACCAACTAGAATATCACAGATATGTATTTAAAACTAGCAATTAAATCTAAAATACTTTAACTATAGAGGACGATACAATATAAAAACAGGCTATAGATCGCCAACGGCTGAAGGTAGATCACCATACCAGGGACCATGGGGACTTACAGTACCTTTGCTACCTGCATGGACCCTAGTTGGATTTACACCATCCCTTCATCCGTTGGCTTGCAATGCTACGTTTTGAAAATCTGGTAAGTTTAAATTTTACTTTGAAAGTTTTGGGACTTACATATGTTCTAAGGAGGACAATAATTTTACGATACTTTAACCCCCTTCGAGGATACAGCCACTAACAATCGCAGTTGCTAATTTATACTACCAGATTTAAAATACCATTATCAGATGTATCAACGTCTATGAGTGAGTGAGTGAGTTAAAATTGATCGTCACATCGGCAATATTTCAGCCATATCGTGACGAGAACAATTAATTTTATGCACAGTAATTAATGGTAAACTGTAAAACCTGTCAACGAAGGACAATAAAATAACTAGATTATCACAGCATCGAATTTAAAACTAGTAATTAAATCTGAAACAATTTAACTATAGATGACAATAGGTAAAAACAGGCTATATATTGCCAACAACTGATGGTAGATCACCATACTAAGGACTCAACGTATGTGAGAATATAGCATGGCACGCTTTTGTTATTTTCTGTTAAATTAAGGAAAACAAGTTGGAGTCTTTGATAGAAGAGTGTCCTTAATTTCATTTCCTAGTGAATATTGGATCATCTTTGCTATGCAAGGCAACAAAATTCATGTTACTGAATACATTACTAAGAGTGAGTGAGTGAGTTTAGTTTTACGCCGCTTTTAGCAATATTCCCGCAATATTACGGCGGGAGACACCAGAAATTGGCTTCACACATTGTACCCATGTGGGGAATCGAACCTTGGTCTTCGGCGTGACGAGCGAAAGCGTTAACCACTAGGCTACCCCATCGCCCCACATTACTAAGAAGATTTATTTCTGATATATACTGGAAAAAATAAGTTAGGGATATTGGTATCTTCATGATTGATATTTGATCAGTGTGTCAATGAATAAATAGATCATTATTCATAATATCAAAATTTACATATATCCCTAACTATTTTTGTCCAGCATATATACAGACTGTGTCTTACATCATGCCACCTGTAAATGCAGAATTAGCAGTGTCATACACACCTGAGCACCTCAACATGGACTTAGACCATACCTGCAGATGTCAAGTGATCGGCACCCCTCTTTCTTCTTTAAAAGGGATTTTGAAGTTGATCTGATGAACAACGGGGAGAGTTCTATGGACATACAACTTCTTGAATATAATATGACCGACACTGTTAGTAGACACTTGCTTGATAACGGTGTTAGTAGCTACACCGAAACGTCGCTGATATCATATTAAAGAAGTTGTATATCCATAGAACTCTCCTCGTTGTTCACCCCTCTTTCTGTATTATTTTTACGTTTTGAGAATACGTAGACCATTTCACGTTTAAAAAAAGCTTATTCTAAAGACGTATAACGAGAAGTTATTCATTACTGCAGTACACCCAATGTATCATGACAGTACATCTCTAAGTACAAGTAAAAACATCACTGTGTGCAATAAAGAAAGTGAAGAGGACTTTTCATGATAAAAATATACACGATGGCCGTGTCTAAAATGTGATTAAACTCTAAGTATGACACAAAGCGACAATTGCCGGTATCATCTTCTCCATCAGTGTCCTAATTAACACAATCAAGCTCATTTTTATCAGTGCCTGCGAATATCTAAAGTAAATCAGCCAGCCACCTGAAGGTATAAAACGTCTTGTTTAGAAGCGGCATTGATTTCAGTCATAGCTCAGCTTCGTATGTATACCTTATTCGTAAAATCCCCTTTGGCTCATATGTGCAACGGGGCGTTGGGGTAGCCGAGGGGTTAATGCGTTCGCTCGTCACGCAGAAGACCCGTGTTTGATTCAGCACATGGGTACAATGTGTGAAGCCCATCTCTAGTGTCCCTCGCAGTGATATTGCTGGAATATTGCTAAACGCGGCGTAAAACTAAACACACTCACTCACTCCTATGTGCAACTGATGTTTCAGTCACACTTGCAACATCAAAAAGTATTTCTCTGAACCCAGGCACTTGCACTCCTTATAAAACCACGGACACTGAGAATTTTGCCTAGCAGTAGTTGCAGTAACAAGAGAACCAGCTGTCTGTGTGCAACACAGTATATATGTGAGCCTCTTCATTGCGGCATCACATTTTTGATCTACCAACAAAATATATAAATTATTCTTCGCTCAGCCTGCGCGTATGCATATAGTAATCCCAAACGCTTGGTCTCTTTAGGGAAGTCCACATAAAAACTAAAAAGATACCAAGTGTCATTTCTTCATTCCAAGTGTAAAGACCAATTTAGGGAGGAGGAAATTTCGGATGCAGCATAAATCGTATACATGGTAAATACTCAAATAATCATGTTAATAAGGATGTGTTAGACAAGGATGATAATCAAATATATTGTTATATAAAATTTGGCCTCGGGATCTACTTTTCATAGATGAATGACAAGAGAAAACTGATGTGTGTCAGTGTAATTGGATTGTTTCGCTGGATATATGTTTATCATTGATCATTAGTATCAGTAAGAATATGGCGTACATTCTTTAAATAAATATAGTGTCTTAGGTATCTTTAAGATGAATATTGTCAGTTTTATTTCAAGTATTTCAATAATTGTTCTATTAATTTCTTTCTTCGTTAGTTTGTGTTTGTTTGTGTAACAAAGGGTAGTCAGTGATATTCTGAAGTTTTGGTCAAGGCCAATGGAGTATTTACTGTCAATTAAATACCAGCCACGAGGGTTGTCAGTGAAGTAATGTTACAAAAGTGTTGTAATAACTGAACCAACCATCACTAGACACACTAGACAATAGACAATTAATATATAACATATATTTTCATTTTATAGAAAATAAAGTTAGTTATAGTTCTAAGCTAACAATAAGCCTAAATTTACACCTTGCACAAATCACACATGAATAACTGTTTAGCGAAAAACATAGATAAGTACAGCTAATATTAATACGTGCTAATGTGTAAGGCCATTGTGCGAAAATTAAATATTTATACTCATGTTATTGTGATTCTATAGCGAACGCTTGTTATCTACTAAACACTGTGATGAAGCAGTGAGTGAAATCCCTACTCACGAAGGATGCCATCTGCTCATTAACACTCGGTAGTTTTCGGAACACGAGTAGTTTTTTTAATGCTGTTAGCTACAAATGTTTCTGAAAACTGACTGAAAACCCCCAAATCTTCTTCAACATATTTCTTTTTACATGCTTTTTCAATGATTTGATTTCAGCAGATGTTTACTGTATATCTCCTGTAAGTCTGAAAAAGATGTTCCAGCACCAACTTACATGTACTGATAACACTCCAGAAAATGTAACTCCACAAGATTGCTAATAAAAAACATTAAAATGACATAGGAATATATTGTTTGAAACAGTCCACCAGATACAATATATACATCTAAAGATTCCGAAAATGATAAAATATGTGTCTCACTCAAGACACTTAGACTCAGAACTGCTGTTGTGCCGTCGGGTCGTGTTCTTGTCCCATCCTGGACGTGAAAATCTGAAACAACCAGGACTGGACGAGACCACACAACACAGACCATATGTATATTAATTGAAATAATGCAATTTTTGGCACACTGACGGGACGCAGCTAAACAACAAAATCCAGGCCCTTCGCGTGCTGGGCCATCACTGCACACTCCAAACATAACTTAACAATATGCACTTTAGATGGAATGTCTTAGAAGTATGCTGTAAAATTCCAAGCCTTCAAAGTTAAGCTTTAACGGTAATGAAAACAATCTTGGAAATTTGACGAACATGTATGTGCTGGTAAAAGGTAATTAAACAAGCTCTCATTTACGCTGGTAATACAAGAATATAGTAGCAAAGATGAATCTCGTCTCATGATAATACCAACTTACAGGAGCCAAGGTTAATTTGTTGAATGAGACTATGAAGCCAGAGAACAGTTAACTCAATACTGTGAGCACAGAGCACAGTGAACAGAACGACGCCGAGACTAATATTCAGGAAGAGGAATACCCTCAGACACATGGCTTCAAGCGCGGTGGACACATCCTTCCAGGTTGGATCCGCTGTGCACTTCTGGGTATTTACATCTCCTGCAGGATCTTGATCTACATCAGTAGCTAGTTCCCTTTTGGAACATTTCCATTTCCACAAAACTACCCATTTGTGCAGCACCCGGGGCACCTTTCCTCGGTAGTTGTGGAATCTGAGGATGAGGATCATCATGGCCACTGAGAGGGAGCTGAGGGTGAGGAGACTGGTCAAGTAGATGGTCAGGTAGGAAGTCTGTTGGGACGTTTTGGGCATGTCGTTGGTCATCTGAGTCAGGAACACGCCAAAAGAGAGTAGGATCGTCATGGAGAGAGCCACTTTGTCTCCATACTCCATGGGCAGAGCAAATACCAGGGAGCTGAGCAGAGATAAAAGTGTGATGGGGATTATCAGGTAGTAGACGTAGTATGATGGTTGGCGTGTCATGGTCAGTTCGAAAACTAGTCGAGGGTAACGATTCTTTAATGCAAATGTTCTAATATTTCGTAACTGCCATAATCCATTCTCACCCATACGATAGGCATTCATTTTATTCGGAAGTGGTGTTAATTTAACTTTCTCCGACGTTGACACCCATGTCGATAGAACAAGATTGCAGACCTGAGTATCAAAGGGAAAATATACAATGTCAAGGTCGCACTGGCTCGTGAAGAGATCACCATGGTCCCATGTTACTACTCCACTGTGTTTCACAGATACAGGTTTATGTTGGTAATTGAAAAGCTTCATTCCTGTAACTGAATTCATGAGGATCACATCAGGGGTCCAGATTCTTTGATTTGACAGAAATATTTCCTCTGTACCATTGAAATCGGAAATGTTCCACTTTAAGGAATCATCCACCCAGCTGAACCTGAACCATCCACTGGTGGTGAATGATTGTCGCTGTTCATCAATTTCAACTATTTGAGATTGGGAAAAATATATTCCAATATCCAAGAAACCATTGCTTTGAAACAGGTCCTGAGTGTAGCTTTCCAGAAGGTGTTTAAAAAGATTTCCTTGTTCAGCAAGTGTTTTCTTGTGAATTAAGACGAGAATGACAGTTAAAAGAATAATGCTCTCGGCACGTTTCAGTATTTTCACAGACCACATTTCCCTTGCTGCGACTCTCTTCTCTTAACAGTGGTGACGAGAAATGTGTAATAAATGTGATCGATCGTCTAATGTGCGTCATAAACGGACGTTGATGATAACACTACAAACGCTTTCATTAGCGTTGCCTTATATGAATGAGATAACAAACACAGACTTCTCTCTGATCGACTATAGCTGAATTCCACATAGCCTTCACCTATCTGTGGATGCCCTGAATTGCAGCAGCGCGGCGACGAGAAATCATTTGCTGATGGCGCATGTTATTCATTGTGTGAGTACTTCACATGACATTGCTGGTTGTACTTCGTGGCAGGCAGTTCATATCCGATTGCAATTTAAATGTCCTCTTTGCATCTGTCAAAAGCACTGAGAGGAAGACACTTCTGTTGTCAAAGAGCTTAAATAACATAATCTAACCCTGTGAACTTAAGCAATGTACATACAAATACATCCTGCTTCACATCTCTTTGCAAATGAATGTATTATAAGCACTCGTAAGGGATTGGTTGCATGCACCATTTCATCAATTAGTTCACTTTTGTTCTGTGAAGGAAATGATTTTCAGTAGAATACAGCTGTCGTCCTTTCAACTGTGATATCATTATTGTTTCATGTATGGTTAAAGTCATAAGCAAGAACAATGTAATGAAATGAAATTATCTCGACAAATACTACTAAACGGACGTTACAGAGCCTGTGATTCTGTCATATTAGGTAGGATCTGACGGATGCCCACGGCAATGAATTATAGCAGTTTAACCCTTTAGTTACCATTTAACGGTAATATAGCAATGCATATATCAAAGTAAAATCTGAGGCTTATTTAATCTTTCTCCAAATACAAAAAGTTAAGAAATGCGTTCTATGCCAGTAATAAAAATACATTTTGGAAATGTATTTATGATGAGGGTTTGCCTTTGTATATTCAATGGACTAATGTCAAAAGATATTGTTAACAAATGCTATGAATTCCACCACAACTTCAACCATTCTCTCAGATAAGAACCTGGATATCTATATATTGTAATCATATGATAAACCCTAAAAGATAAATGTGGCTTTCTCAGCATGTGATCAGTGTTGATATGTTTCCCTAATTTCAGTGTAAGTGTGAGAAATGTATATTCAGGTATAATTGAATAATTAAAAAATATGCCTACCATCGTTACATTTGGCAGTTGTTCCGCCTGTTGTACATACCACACATGCATATATCCATGTATAGTGACACCTGACAGAAAAGTAAACAGTGCATTTGTCAATAAATGTGTCTTAACACCAAGAGCATTTGGTGCAACAGGGCCCGGGTCTTAGATACGTGTGGGCAGGTGAGGCTGTCCTATTCAAATAAATATGTGTGATGTGCCTATATTTATTGGAAGGATGATATTTAAAGTGAAAAATGTGTTTGCGAAAATGATTGCTCTGTCGACGGGGTACTCACTCTCACATTAAATTCTATGTTCTGTATTTCACAAACTATCTTCCACTTCTTCATCATCTTCAGTGTGTTTTCCTTTGCTGTGATGATTATTTGCTCTTATATGTCATTATTATTTACGCCTTATTATTGTTCCGTTCTCAATGAAATTAAGGTATAATGTGAACCAAGCTCTGTTACTATCTTATGTATAGGCATTGCCAACAGTTATAGCCCTGAGTTTCCATCTATGTATGTCTGGACTAACCAGGTACCACTGTATGGATCATAACCGTCCTCTGTCAGTCAGCTGATGCGATTGCTATTCTTGGAAAATGAACAAATATGAAACCCCGAAAACTTGCATCCACTTTTTACGTCTCTTTTTCCTGCAAAGCCCACTTTAACCATGCTTACAGTGCGCACTCTCTCATTTACTGCCAGAAAGATCTTTGGTTAGTTTTTGCCACATCAAGCTCGTAAAATCAGTCTGTAACGTATTGACAGCATTAAGGCAATGACACCAGTTAATATATAAACGTCAAACCCCTTGCCCAAATCCCAATCCGCAAGAGATCTCTGCTAAGAGCAGAATCTGTTGTACAATTATTATTATGTACTGATTGAATCCGCATTGATCGTAACTGCTTAAATAATCAAGAATACAAATCACCGAACTCAGTGCAACATTGGTGACTTTACCAGAATTGTAACGTAAGCCCCACCCATTCGCTAATCAGGCATTCAGGAAACATTATCTGTTACTGGGTGTGGCCATGCAACAACAGATGCAAAATATGTTGCCTGATCAGCCAATCGCTCTCATAGTATTGCATGGTGACAATAGCTGGATTGTCTGGTCCAGACGCTATTTGTTTACAAACAACAGCATACAGCTGTAATGCAGCTGAAACAAATATATACTCATAATATAGTCACAACTGTACAATCGACTCTTCATTTAGCAGAGTTTTCTTATGAAAGTGGAAAGAGTTTTGTCACTTCTATTTGTGTGCCTTTCTTTGTTTAGTTGTTGCGGGTGATTTCACCAATTAATACATGTTTAATCTTCTAACTGCTTTTGTGTTTGAGCTATATTACTGCCTATAGCTAATACGTGGAATATATAACACTCAGGAAAATCACCTACAGAGCTATACTGTCTTCTCACTCAACTCTCTTTCTGTTCAAAACCTATAAATGTGCTTATAAACTCGTCTCCTAATGCATATACTTTGAAGTGCTGATATGGGAAAAACAAACAATTCCCCATATGATCTCTTTCCTTTGGAGGAAGTTATGTTCACCTTTGCGAGGTGAGTTATGTTATTTGAATAACATATAAAGATTTACACATTGCCTACGTCCTGTGTTTGAAGCTGCGGAAATGGTCAATTTATTGCCATTGAATATGACGAATTTCACAATAACAACAGTTAATAATCGCATCAATAACTCAGAGGCAAGGGAAGCAAGTTCGTGTGAGGAGTTTACGACGATTGTTTATTTGGGTCCCGGTTAAGCCATGATTAACATCCTTCTTTTGCCTCATGTTTCATGTTCCTGTGGTACTTAAGATATGTCTCATCACATTATGCCAATGGGCAGTGATATAACTGAACTAAGTTTCAAAACAGGGTAAAAGCACCACACAAACACGTATGGAGTGATACATACAAAGGGACTTTTTACCTTTTCCAAGTTCTCTTACAGACATTGCTAACGATGTTAAACTGTTGTGACTTTCACCATAGGAACTAATTTAGTTCTATCCAGTACCATCAGAACGTTTACAAAGATAGTAGCATAAGTTAGCCAACTGTAAAAATATTCTATTTGAATTGTAGGAGATGGAAGAACAGTTCCTTAAGGATACAATATGTTCTCATATCTCCTCCATATAACTCCTCACCGAAACTGTAAGTAAATGTTGTGAAAAAATGTAAATGGCGTAGGTGGTTAGGCCGTTCAAAGGTAATTAAGCTGATAAAGGCCACGAAAACCCGAAAAAAAGGAATATTACTGTCTTAAGTATAGGTAGTTAGGTAATGGTTTGTGTCAGAGTGTGTTATCCTTATCTTGAATAGTAAGTACATAGGATATATCAGATATATTTACGGTTTGATAGGTCAAAACTGAGCGAAAACAGTACATGACCCCAACAGCCCTGCAATGGTTCAGGGAAACGAGAAGAAGTCCAAGTGATATTTGCAGGTGATGACACAGACATGTACATGTGGTGGTGACCTCGATCAACGGTCCATTGGTGTGCCCAGCTAGTCTTTATTCAATGATCATGTATTCGTTTTATACGGAAGTCCTTAATTGCTTGTGAGATTAACCCAAACGTATTTACCTTAGAAAACCATACAGAAGAGATACCCTGTTTTGTTCTTGGGTAGTGATGCATGTACTGTGTTAAAGTCATCACTCGTGTTATTGCCAGTTTGGTCACAGATGAAGCTGAGGTAAAATGCTCATGAGCTGCTAAATGTTTCTTACCGTTGATGAGGTAAATTGGAGATGCTCTTTTACGCTAATGTATACAAATATTGATGAAGTAGTTTTAAGGAATATTCAACAGCCGATTTTCTTTCTTTGTTTCTTTGATTTGTTTGGGTTCACTTCTGAGATCCGTACTTTGATATCCGATATTCGGGACTGTTAAAACGCGGTAGGGAAAATGCTTACAGTTTATAAATCATGATGTCATTCGTATTAGTGTCAGATATCACGTTAACCATAACTTCATCATGGGATTAAGGTATACAAATCTCACCAAACTAATTCAAGTTAAAACTACCTTTCATATAAAATATATTTTTCATATTAATATAGTGCACTATCCACAAGAACGCATGGATTTTGTACATTGGTTTAATGTTTACATTTTATTCATTAACAATAT